CCAGAATCTCTGGGACACATTTAAAGCAGTGTGTAGAGGGAAATTTATAGCACTAAATGCCCACAAGAGAAAGCAGGAAAGATCTAAAATTGACACCCTAACATCACGATTAAAAGAACTAGGGAAGCAAGAGCAAACAAATTCAAAAGCAAGCAGAAGGATAACTAAGATCAGAGCAGAACTGAAGGAGATAGACACACAAAAAACCCTCCAAAAAATCAATGAATCCAGGAGCTGATTATTTGAAAAGATCAACAAAATTGATAGACCACTAGCAAGACTAATAAAGAAGGAAAGAGAGAAGAATCAAATACACACAATAAAAAATGATAAAGGGGATATCAGCACTCACCCCACAGAAATACAAACTACTATCAGAGAATACTATAAACACCTCTATACAAATAAAGTAGAAAACCTCAAAGAAATAGATAATTTCCTGGACACTTACACTCTCCCAAGACTAAACCAGGAAGAAGTTGAATCCCTGAATAGACTAATAGCAGGCTCTGAAATTGAGGCAATAATTAATAGCCTACCAACCAAAAAAAGTCCAGGACCAGACGGATTCACAGCCGAATTCTACCAGAGGTACAAGGAGGAGTTGGTGCCATTCCTTCTCAAACCATTCCAATCAAAAGAAAAAGAGGGAATCCTCCCTAACTCATTTTACAAGGCCAACATCATCCTGATACCAAGCCTGACAGAGATACAACAAAAAAAAGGGAATTTTAGAGCAATACTCCTGGTGAACATTGACGCAAAAATCCTCAATAAAATACTGGCAAACCGAATCCACCGGCACATCAAAAAGCTTATCCACCATGATCAAGTGGGCTTCATCCCTGGGATGCAAGGCTGGTTCAACATACACAAATCAATAAACGTAATCCAGCATATAAACAGAACCAAAGACAAAAACCATATGATTATCTAATAGATGCAGAAAAGGCCTTCGACAAAATTCAACAGCCCTTCATGCTAAAACTCTCAATAAATTCAATAAATTCGGTATTGATGGAACGTATCTCAAAATATTAAGAGCTATTTATGACAAACCCACAGCCAATATCATACTGAATGGGCAAAAACTGGAAGCATTCCCTTTGAAAACTAACACAAGACAAGGATGCCCTCTCTCACCACTCCTATTCAACATACTGTTGGAAGTTCTGGCTAGGGAAATCAGGCAAGAGAAAGAAATCAAGGGTATTCAGTTAGGAAAAGAAGTCAAATTGTCCCTGTTTGCAGATGACATGATTGTATATTTAG